TTGCAAATAACTACTGCAAGTTTATTGTTAAACTCGCTGAGTAAGACCGATATTGTTGCCATTTGACATCTTAAGCACTTTTTTTTTTTTGCGATGAAGTGTCTATCCTTAAAAGTTTTGGTGTTAAACAGGGAACCAAAAGTATGCTAAGCCCCTTTTAATGTGTATTATTACTCGACAATAACCCTTTACGGTTCCTCTGTTAAAACAGATTTGCTTCAGCGGTGGTCTGAAGCGACAAGAAGTGCGCACTTCAGCTACAGCCATTGACGTACGCAACGCATCTCTCGCTCGCGCAGCATCCTTTTCAAGCCGTTGTCTAGAACGCTACGCGTGCAGTTAGATGAGACAGTGGAACACTCACTTATGATTATGTCATGTTCAGCCGCGACCCGTTAATATAAACAGGGAGCGCTCTGCGAAATTCCCTAACGAATCTCCATATTCTTGTCGCAATCGCTATGACGCAGTAATATATCTTAACGCCTGTGGAATAATTATCAGTACACTTCAATCTCAGATTTCAAGTGATGACATCAATTCGTAAACATTATTTGTCAGATAATATTTATAAATTATGTTTGGCTAAAAATATTAAGGTATTTAAAAGTATTCATACATTATTCCGTCTTACAAACAAATTAATTAATTGTACCTTTCATAATAAGAAATTCTTCTACTTACCTGGATACATTCAAACGATTGCCCTCCACTGGAATCTTTTTCTAAATAAACTACATGCCTGCACTCTTCACTTGCTTCAAACCGACCCAACTCCTCAGTTTCCATTCTTGAGACGTAGTCTCCTCGCATCATTACAAGATCCCTTTCGATTTTTCCAGGGCGAAATACTCAAGCCCCGCCCCCCCAGACACTCCCCCGGCGTCTGATTGGTCGCCGCGCTTTACACGTTCCTAAACTCTTCAGGATCACATGTGCTTGACGCGTGTTTACAAACATTGAATGAGGTCACATGGTACAGGCGACCATTTAATGCGCATTGCTGGATACTGTCGCAGCGTCTCATAACAGAGAACAAAAGCACCGGAACCCAAGCTTATATGAAACGATCTGTTATATCATGCTATCTCCATCGTGAAAACACTGTTTAGCTCTTGTGTTTGATCTTATTCTAAGAGAAATTAGCAATTGTAACATCTTTCTTTCATAACTCACAAATATGTCCTGTGTGTTTTGATATAAAACATATATAATCACCAAGTAACTCTGCATATTACTCAAATAAGAGCACATATGACGAATTATTTTTATCACTTTCTTGTTGTCAACCTTTAAATATTTAGGTCAGGATTTTTTTTTTTTTTGCAAGGATGGGAACATTCTAGAAGTTTCTGTAACATTCATGGATATTCTGTAATACGCCAGTGATTTCTGGAACATTCCAGAACATTGTGAGACTAGTCATAAAAGACAAAAACCATCCACCGTACACTTCTGAAGTTGTGGACGACTCACTTGTGTTAAACTGTTGTTGTTAGCACAGTATTATGCATTTACCATGTCATTTTTTTTCAATTTAATAAAAATTTTTTTTTTTTCAGTTTTCATGAACATTGTTAACGATGCACAAAAAGTAATGATTTTCGTATTCAGCAGTCAAACTTCATTAAGAAAAACAAAACTTTATAAAAATGTGTTTCACTGTTATGTTTAAGCATAGTTTTTATATTGAATTATTGTTTTAGCAGTACAAATAATGTTTGTAAAATAAAAGTCTAAATGAAATCCACATTGGGCTATTGTTTATATATTGTCAATAAATCATAAAATATAGAGATCAGCCAATAGGTCAAGAACAGTCTTCAGTTAGATAATTTCATGAAACAGTGTTCATTACGCCTCCCAATTTTACTTTTGGCATTAGAAGCTCAGACAACATAGGAAACAAACAAACAAAAAAATGTTGTACCACCAAATCATTTTGAATGAAATCACATTTCACATCTTTTTCTTGATAGGAAACTTTACTAAGCCCATTCTGAGAGATTGTCATCTCTATAACTTATTTGTGACAATAAGAAAGGATTTTATTGTTTTACCTCTAGATTTTGTTATTGTTTTAAGGGAGGATTCCATGATGAATTCTCACAGTTCTCTCAGATTATTTTTGTCCAGTAATATTTTCCTATGCAAGAGCTCTGTATAAACACTAGGGGACACTATTTACCCAAAATACTCTTCACTAAAGCTATTGCTGAAGTTTTTGCCACTTACAAAGTCGAGGATTTGTGATTAAGTTCACATTTCGAAAATTAGCAACATGATCATTTTATTCCAAAAGCAATACCTCAACAAAGACATCATCAACAACCGATTAATTGTTGTTCTTTATGCAATGTACTATAGATCTCAGCAGAGACAGAGGCATTGTGATTTACAGTACAGTGTACAGTAGTGCACATATGTGAGAAAGCGGTGGAGGGAAGTGTCTGGGAATAGAGCATGAAGTGTACATGTGTTGGTCATAAAACTGAGCAACAAGGGAGGGGATGTGTTTGAGTAAAACCACCCGTAGTGTTCATTCTCATGGGGATTGTATAGCTGACAGGTTTATCTGTGTGTGTGTGTGTGAAATGAATCAGTTTATCCCTATGCCTGGTTAGGGAGGTTGATTCATTTTTCTGGAGAACAGAGATAGTTGGTCTTGTTAATTAAATAAGTTTTTGTCAAACTTTTTCAGGTGGCACACAACCTAAACCTATAAATCAGTGTAGCACCAAAGTATTTACTTTTTTTTTTTTTAATGGAAATCAGCCTGTGAATGACATAGATTAAGTTGTCTCTGATTATCATGTTTATTCATTAAGCCCTTTATACTTGTTATTGCAGAAGAGTGTGATGTAGATCTGGTGTCACTGAGTGTGCTTGTGCTATCCAAACTCTTACACTGAACATCTGAAGTCTTTATTTAGCTCCATGGAATTTAGACTATTTGTTGGAGCGTAAAGGATCTATAAATAAAAGGACTTAATATTATGACATGTATCTACACAGTATTTTTTAAATAGTATGTATTTAATTTAATACCAAACTCATATACACATTTTAGAATAACAATAAAATCCTCTACATTTAGTTGATATTTTATTCTCAAGAGGAACTGGGAATACGTTTTACTATATGCTTGGTTTTTGAATATAATTGGTAATATTTTCAAGCTGTTGTTAATTTGTCTTGTTTTCAGTGAGTAAAATTGATTTGGAATGTTAATGATTTCTGTATTCTCCCTTGTTGACACTGATTGGCTGGTTCATAGTTGGAGGGAAACATCAGCTCCGCCTTCATTTTGCCATGGCCTTGCTGGTCTTTTTTCCTGCAGTTGTTAAATTCATCTGGTGGTTAGAGCAGACTCAACTTCTCCACCCTGCCTATATATAAGATATACAATACCGTAGTACAAAATGTTCAACTGTGGGCCTCCACAGAGGGTTTAACACACTTCACTTGATCCCACGACTGTGTGAATCCACTGAAATTTCATGCATGTAGCAAGTTTGATGCGACCCAGGGGACATACTACTGCCTGACTGTTTTTTCTTTGTTTTCTTTGTACTAGCTTCAGTAGATTTACTCGTTTACTTAAACAACCATTCAAAGCCAAAGATTTGTGTTATTTATGAATCCACAGTGACTACATTTTTTGTCAAAATGAAGTGAATTTGTTTTTAAGAGGCAAGTTATAATGTATGTTGATTCTTCTCTCTTGTCATATTTTTAATGAACTGGAAAATTAGCCAGATTTTGTATATTCATTCATTTTATGTGTTTTATCTGGCCCAGATGGAATGTGTGGACATTTGCATGTTGATTTTTGGTGATAAATCCTGTGATTTCGGTGGAATTGATTTAAATATAGTCAAATGTGACATAAACAGAAGTTTATTCAATTTTTCAAAATGTCTCAGAATGTCAAGATAATTACAGTAAAAAACAAACAAACACATACTATGCTAATCACTAATGAACTCTATTGCTACTGTGTTCAAACATTATGAATATTGTGTTTTATTCTGTAGTGGTTCAGAAATTTGCCTTCTCGACAGTAAATTGAATGATATGACAAACAAAACTATTTAAGCACTCACTCATACACATACACATCCACAAGCTAAACAACAATCCCAAATCTTCACGTTTTTCTTCATTTCCCTCCTACTGAGTAACTGAGTGTCTAGATTACACACAAAACCAAAAAATTATAAAACAAAATATACTTTGTATAAAAATATATGCAGTTACAAAAACTGTAAAGGTCAAATTTGTCATTTGTTGTAGAGACTATTTTGTCTTTGTTGCTTTTTTAAAATGTGATGACGGCAGTGATTCATCAGACATTTCCATTAAGATCTACATGCACATGTGTTTAATGAGTGATGTGTCTAACACTCAAGATTTTTTGCAGTATTTGTGTTATGAGTTACCACTCCACCACTCAAGCTTTTTGCTTATTACACATTTTCAGCTCAGCTTGTAGAGAATAATGCTAGAAATGCCACGGTCCTGAGTTTAGTTCCCAGGAAACACACATACTGATTAAATGTATTTTGAATGCAAGAGTTGCTTTGGACAAAAGCATCTGCCAAATGCAAAAATCTCTGTAATGCATAAAAGTCCAGAACCTTAATGAAATGAATCAAATCAAGAGTGGCAAATGCAAAATACTAACATAGGCAATTGAAAATGACACTATATTTATGCCAGTGAAAGGCCAGGGTTGATAACCCCATTCTAACTGATAAGAATCCTAATTTTAAGAACGGTTGAATGCAGACAATATAGTAACTTTTCTGATGTACCTTAAAATTTAAGGATAAAACTTCACAATGAGGTTCAGTTCGTAAACATTAATGAATTCGACTTCATGAACAACGTTTACATTAACAATTTTTATAGCATTTAATAATCAAAGTTAATGTAAAAGTATTGTTTATTGATATTTTGTGATAACGCATTGATGTTAACAAACTTTCTATTAAGCATATTATAGAGCAGCAGTGTAGACTTGAGAATGCTTTTCCAGTATGAATACTGTACGTACTTAAGATTTTGGCTCATCTAAACGTATAATACAAATCCTATTCATTATATGCAGTTTACAAATTCCTTAAGCATGGAAGATCTCAAGAGAATTTTTGCACTGGTGGAATCCAAACATATTTGAAAGTGTAAATGTTTGATGTTTGTATATAATTGATCCGGTTTCTGAATTGTTATTCATCAGCTAACATTTCAGGCTCAACTGGAACAGATTTGGTTCTTTTATCTCTTGTGTTTACACATAAGGCTGCCCAGCAATCAGTTCCTTGCACTTTCATCATTGTTTTTCTCAGCATCATCTCCGTTGCAGTTTTTATCACGCCTAATGTTGTTGTGCATGATAAGCCATGATGTTTGTTCACTCTTCATGTTGGTCATTGGATTGATGTTGACAACGAGTCTCTTACATTGGAGTATCATTCACTTGTGTCTGGGTGGCGGAGTGTCCATTGGTGGGGGGAGATTCTGGAGACTCTCCGTTGATGATGGGCTTGTCCAAAGGTTCCTGTTGAGGCAGAGGAGCCACAGACAGCAGTGTGTTGCCTTGGGTCTCTTCATCCACTTGAAAGGAGTCCTCAGCCTTGATTGAGACGAGACATTAGTTAGATATACTGAGCATTGATCCTGCCTCAACCCTAATACTATTGATTCATTTGGAATGTGCAGTGATTAGATGGTCACACTTACCAATCGTAGCCCCTTCGATTGTCCTTGATTAGTCTTTAGAAGGTATCCAGCAATTAACAAAGCAGCAAGAAGCAAACCCGTTATCAGAAGAGAGATCAGGACAATTTTAGAGTGTTGGCCCATTCGGGACACCGCCTCCTCTACTTCCACCTAGACACAAACCATTACCAACACAAGTTCGTTTTTTTTTGACGTGTTGTATCTTAGTTTTTATAGCATTGTATTACAATATTGTGTGAATTAAGTGGTTTGTGTGAAGTGTCATATAGTGTGTTAATCTGATTTGTCAGCACAGCTGTTTACACTTATAATGAGTTACAGCCTTACATCACCCTAACTTAACCCTAAACTAAACCACATGGTAAAATATGCAGTGTTTCTGTTTCGGAGGCCTAATAGGGTGTGTATTATTCATATGGACTGGAATTTGGGAGTAACGCGTTATTAAACCACTGCTACGCAAAATCCTGATAGCAGATGTACTGTACAGGCTTCCTCTTCCTTTTGTATATGTGACCCTGGACCACAAAACCAGTCGCTGGGGTATATTTGTAGCAATTGCCAAAAAAAACATTGTATGGGTCAAAATTATTGATTTTTCTTTTATGCCAAAAATCATTAAGATATTAAGTAAAGATCATGTTCCATTAAGATATTTTGTAAATTTCCTATTGTAAATATATTAAAACTTAATTTTTGATTAGTAATATGCATTGCTAAGAACTTCATTTGGACACTTTAAAGGCGATTTTCTCAGTATTTAGATTTTTTTGCAACCTCAGATTCCAGATTTTCAAATAGCTGTATCTCGACCAAATATCCTATCCTAACAAACCATACATCAATGGAAAGCTTATTTATTCAGCTTTCAGAATATGTATAAATCTCAATTTCGAAAAATTGACCCTTATGACTGGTTTTGTGGTCCAGGGTCACATATGTGCTTTCTCTCTTTTTCACCCTGCTTACTTGATTACATGACAAAGTTTTCAGTGGTGCTGACCTTATCGGTGATGTTGTCATTGTTGAACTTCCCAGCCATTTCTTCAGGATCAGCTTCATGAAACAAAATATAAATAAATAAAAATAAAATAAATAAAAAAATGGCAGATTTTATTCTGATTGTTCACACCACTGGAATATTTAACATCCACCCACAATATTTTTTTTGCAATAAATTTAGGCTGTAGAGAATTTTAAATTCCAATTCAGATTGAAGTGAGATAGCAAACAGTATGCAGAAGTTTTATAGTTTGAATTTATATGTAAAAATGAATTGAAATTCAATGTTAATTTTTAACTATATGATAAACTTTGAATGTTGGCTTTATAAGACAGATAGATGGATGTTTGAAATGCCATCATCTATAGACATTTGTATGTATTTCATATTTATAATTTTAGATTTATATATTTTTATCATATTTAATAATTACATTTTAATTTTTTATGGGGTGATTTCATGACATTGACAGCAATGTTTTTGTGGTACAGCAAATAAATAACAACAAGACAATACAAACCTTCAATGCTGTCTCCATAAACAATGATCTCATCAGTGTTGTCTTTCTGATAGATTTCAAGTTTGCAGTCTTCACCACAGAGATGTTCTAGAACACTCTGTATCCTGACTTTAGTCTCTTCCTATTGGGTGAAAGGGTTTTTGAATACGTGTAGGACATAGGAGATATATATATATATATATATATATATATATATATATATATATATATATATATATTTTTTTTCATATATAAAATTTTATGTATACAGTGCAACAGCAAAAACTGAGAGGAAAAAATAAGTCACATTTGTTTAGAGCATTTTCTATAACTACAAGTCAAGCTGCAATACCAAACAGGACCACACGAAGTTGCCAACAGACACTATACCAGTCGCCTTAAGCTGACTATATATATAACTATATACGGATCCATTCATAATTATTAGAAATCAAACAAACCAACTGTAGAATGGTTCAGGAGTTGTGTGAAAAGGAAGAATGCAGGGTCGGGTTACTGAGGCAAAAACAAAGCACACACGCTCGGCGCTTTCTTATTCAATCTTCGTACAACTCAACACAGTTCAACAGAGTTGAAGTCTTGCATCCACGAGTCCTCAGTCCAGCATCTCTCTCTCTGTCACGTTTCCTGGCAGCTTTATCCGGTCTTTCTCTCTCTCTCTCTCTCTCTCTCTCTCTCTCTGTATCTCATATTTCTTTCTTTCCTGGAATGTGGTGTAATATCACGCCTGTATGTTCAGGTTTTCTCTCATAGCAACAGCCTCCCCTTCCACTCAATCACAGCTCTCCAGGGAACATTGGCGAATAGAAGAATATCCATAAAAATGCCATTTTGATCATAAATGTTATGATTAACACTAAAATAATCATGTTGCTAATAAACTGAACAAACTTTCAAAAATTAAAAGTATATAAGGCATTTTTGCTGGAGACGGAAGATTTTTTATGACAGTTTAACTTTCTTTTTTGTTATAATAGGTGTCAAATTCGTTCCGAATTTTTAGCTGAAATCATCAAATGTCATGAAGTCTGCTTTAGTCACTTACACACATAAGTCATTCATGATTTTTTTTTTCTAATTTACTACTCGTAGCAGATACTTTATTCTACTGAGACTCTTTACTGACTCTGAAACTAAACCTAGAGGCCCGACTGTGTATCTTGGCAGAGTTTCTGGCGTGAATGCCGCACTGCCGCCACCCATAGAATGTAATGGAATGCCATTGATGTGCAGGCCACAAGGCCTCTATGACGGGTCCACCCAGTGAGCCTTAGCACAAAGCATAACACACTTATTAGGGTCTCTATGGGACGACTTGTAAAAAGACTTGTTGTATAATGTTGTATAAAGTCATATTGGCAAAAGGAAGACACAACTAGCAGTCTGTCTATTGTTTTGTCTGAGACTAAAGGCTCTGAATGGTGTTTTTATTATTATTTTTTAATTATTATTATTGTGGATTATTCTGATCACACTTTAGTGTGGGTTTCCTGAAATTTAATGGTATGCGGGTGCTGTATGTCCCGAGTGATCAGCATACAGTACATTGCAACAAATTGCATTGCAACAAATATTACAACAAATATTACAATTATGTCTAAATGGTAATAAAAACTGGCTTCCTTTTTCTTTTCATTGTAGGGTGTATGAGTCACCATTATAATCTACAATAATATAACAGCATAGTGTTCATCAAACTAAAGCTTGGGTGAGTTTTCCAACTCTATACTTAATTTCGGCCTTTTCAAACTAGTCAGGATGGATCTAGAATCAGCACTGCTACTATTATATAATATTATTTCCCCAGATTCCACCCAATTATCACAGGATAAATCCAGGCCAGTACTTACACATGTGGAGGAGGCCTTTAGTTTCAGCATCACATCATATTTGTATTGCGCTGGTATTTTATCCACACAGACCACATTTCCCTGCAAAATAAACACAAATATAAGACCAGAAGTCTTCTTAACCTAACAGTACACATAATCCAAATATTGAATTATTTTATAGTGTTTTAACATAATGTTTATGAGGTACGGTATAGAGTGTCTTCACCTTAGAAGTGGCACTGTTTATTTCAGGTGGGTTTGGCTTGGTCTGATCTGGGGTCGGTGTGTCAGGCTGAGTTGACTCAGTGGTCTCAGTTTGTGGCGTCTCTGAGGTGTCTGAATCAGGTGACATAGTGGGGAAAATGACAATCTGGATCTGAGGTCATTACTTGACTTAGTGTTGTAGTCATTGTCATTAAGAGCCGCTTTTCGAATACAGTTTAATACATATATATATATACTGTATATAAATTACCTTTGTGGTGCACCTTTGCTGTTGGAAGGAGTGGATCACCATCCCCACGGGTGTTGACGTTTGAATCTTCATGCACTTCGTCACAAATCACAGCTGAAATATAAGGTAAATTATGTCACAGCGGCTCATTCAAACTAACTGCATCCAAAGTGTCAAGATATTAAGTTGTGATACTCTAATTTTAATCTTTCTTTCTTTTTAATACCATCTCAAACCTACAATCTTTGTTTGGCGGATGATACAATACCATAGACTTGCACTGAAGGAGGGATCTGAGCAAGAAATTTATAGTTTTTTTTTTCTGTAAGGATGCATTAAATTGCTAAAAAGTAACAGTAAAGACTTACATTCTTATAAAAAAAAAAAACTATTTCAAATAAATGCTGTTCTTTTGAACTTTCTATTCATCAAAAAAAATCCTTAAAAAGAAATTATTGCCCTTTCCACAAAAAAAAAAACACGCATCTGTCTCTTGCTCAGCGCCAGCCAGCGAACGCAGATTTGAATTTCCACAAAAACGTTAAGCAGCTGTTTTCAACATTGAGAATAATACGAAATGTTTCTTTAGCAGCAAATCTGCATATTAGAATGATTTCTGAAGGATCATGTGACACTGAAGACTGGAGTAATGATGCTGAATTGTAATAATAAATCACAATATCACTGTTTTTACAGTACTTTGGATAAAATAAATGCATTCTTAGTGTGCATAAGAGACTTCTTTCAAAAACATAGAAAAATCTTACTGACCCCATGGTAAGGCACCATTCACATATTTTATTAAGAAATTATTATAATAATTAAACAGCTTTAACCGAGCTGTAAATCATCAATGTTGTGTTGTCTTGTCACAATAGCAGTGTTCCATAGACTCAAACCCAATTACTAGGGGTGCTCCGATTGATCGGCCGATAATCGCTTTGGGATGTTTGATCGGCGGTCTCTAAAAGGCTGATCTAAAAAAAAACGATCTCAAGCTGATGACGCTGCCGTGAGAGGTTTGGCACGACATTCAGCGGCACCGTCACAGTCTCTGTCCGGCGAGGGTGAAATAATTATAATGCTGAAGGTGAGGTACTCACCTTCATATTTCTTCATTAAATAACTTAAGTAATTTGAAAACCTTGTGTGAGATGTAATTTCACAAACAGCGTGAGTGAATCACCACGCGCGCTCTCTCTTTCTCTCTCAAAATCGTTTCCGCACCGAGTCTATTGCTGGACTGCGAGCGTTGAATTAAAGTAACAGCGCATTGTTTGCAGTGAATATGAACATGGATTGACACGAAAATGTAGTAATTACACCATACATGCATATTATTAAAGTACTGTGTTTCACAGTCAACACTATGACTTTTTGGCTAGGTTTAAAGGGAAAAAGCACTTTTAGATAAACAAGGCAATAATAGATGGCACTCGTTAAAAAGCATTGAATAATGTGTTGCTTATATTTATTGTGTTTAAACACAAGATTGTATTACTGTACTGTGTAAAAAAAAAAATTGTAATGCTGAAAAAGCATTTTCAGTGACAATGTTTGAATTTGAAATCAAAATAATGGATAAATGTTGTGTTTGTGGTAAACAGCCATGGATCAGTAGCGGAGCTAAGAATGGGAATTCCCCCCATTTTCAAAAATGAAATTCAGGCCCTGAATAAATGTCTAAAAATCCTAATTGGAGTATCACTATAAATAGTTATAAATGATAAAAAGAAGGCTTTAAAAAGATCGGTATCGGTATCGGCAGATACTGCTTTCTGTGATCGGCGATCGGTGATTGGCCTCAAAAATCCTGATCGGAGCACCCCTACCAATTACCCATTTAATTGAGTTGTTTTCTGTCTTCACCCACAAGCATCGTAGTGTATGAGTTAAAACTTGTGTTAGAGATGACGCGTAAGCCATGGAGCTTATGTGGGCGATGTGAATTTGAATCTGGCTGGCAAATATTTTTCTTACTCTGTCCTATCGGCTTCTTTAAAATCTTGCTGGTGCTGGAGTTGGTGAAGCTGGTCCTGGTTTGACTAGAGAGTTGAATGACGATGTGACTGACTTTGTTTAATTGGCCACATCCAAACTAATTGAATTGAATGGCTAAAACTTACAAAACTCAATCTTTGTAATTCAGAGGTATGTTTAGCATTTGCTTATACTTAACACTGGTTCAAGTCGTTTAAATTGCATAATGTTTTTCAGAGCCAGAGGAATGAACTGACCTAATTTCTGAACAGCTCTGCCAAAGGCTGCACTGGTTTGAATCAATGAGTTAAATGTGCTGTGTGTAATTAATAGACTGATTGAGCATGGATACATCAGCACAGACTGAGCTAATACAACCTAATAAAAAGAAGCATAATAGATAGGACAGAATAAGAAAAATGTTTGCCAGCCAGATTCAAATTCACATCGCCCACATAAGCTCCATGGCTCAACGCGTCATCTCTAACACAAGTTTTAACTCATACAATACAATGCTTGTGGGTGAAGACAGAAAACAACTCAGTTAAATTCCGTGTGACATCAGTGGTTCAACTGTAAAGTTACGAAGCTAGGAGAATACTTTTTTGTGCAAAGAAAACAAAAATAACGACTTTATTCCACATTTTCATCTCTACTGCGTCACTTGTACACAGTACCATGACAAGTGACGCAGTAGAGATGAAAATGTGGAATAAAGTCGTTATTTATGTTTTCTTTGCGCAAAAAAAGTATTCTCCTAGCTTCGTAACTTTACAGTTGAACCACTGATGTCACACGGACTACTTTGTCGATCATCTTGGTACTTTTCTGGACCTTGAATGTGGTAGTTACCTTGCTGTCTATGGAGGGTCAGAGAGTCCTCATATTTCATCAAAAATATCTTAAATTGTGTTCCGAAGATGAACGAAGGTCTTACGGGTTTCGAACAACACGAGGGTGAGTAATTAATGACATAATTTTCATTTTTGGGTGAACTAACCCTTTAACCTCACCCCTCCTCCCTGCCACAAGAGGTCCTGACCTCTGACCCCGTCCCTGCCTCAACACACTCCCCTCTGGACACCACAGAGAGAGTCAATCAGAGGTTAAAAAGAGAATCATAGTGAAAGAAACTATGAGGCAAGGAGATGGAAAGAGCAAATAAAAGGCTCCTATTTATGTCTCAGAGATCTTTGTGGAGCCATTTCTCATTTGCACATTATTATGTGCTGAAAAATGTGATTTATGTGATTTTCTGCTAGACATGTTTTGAATAAAGGTGTGATTCTATTTTAAGAGATTTTTTTTTCTGTCTTTGGTCATGTGTCAGTGCTCAGCATGATACACATGAAACCTAAAGCCAGACAGTACGGAGTCAGATCACTGTCAGAATGATTTAGTGCGCTCTAAGACATCTGTTCCATCCATTATAATGAAACGATTATTTAGCATTATTTGCATAATTCTCTTGAGCACGCAGCAAACTATTCTCAAGTTCACCACAGTCTAATTAATTCTAATCGATCTTTTGATTGGTCACACACAAAATATTGGCATTTTTTAAAAAAAGTTTTGGTAATCAGCAAATAAGATTTCCCATGTTTTTATTTAGCCTGTAAATTAAATAGCCATGAGAAGTAATGATATAATATGATATGGTAGCGTTTCTCTCTTGGCTGAATCTCTTCTGCTTGTATTACTATATTTATAAGTCTGGATAAAGTGTATTTAACTGTATTCTGATGCTAGCATTCTAGATTTTTCCAAGGTTTCAAGGGGAAATGCACTAAAAATGAATTAGATTTATTTGCATGCGCTGACTTGTTTTGACTAAAAGAGTTATGCAAATCGGTAATGGCGCAAACACTAACCAAAAATTAGCTCTGAATGCTATTTGCACAATGCAATTCCCCATCTTTTAAACCGGGTTTGAGTGTTAGTTTGTGGAGGTGTAACCGTTTAGTGAAATCGGCCCAAAGTGTTTTGTAAATTAGATTTATGGTTTAGGTAGCTTCACAAGAAAAATACATTCCACTTCTGTGTAATACATGCACTTTCCAATTTTGTATGTGTACTGATTTAGTGAAAAGATTCAAACCAGGGAATTTATAGTTACTAAAACAGTAAATTCTTTGTCATGAAAACTCTGTCACTTGCAGGACATTTTTATTAGCTAAAGAAATGTATAATATTTCTCCTCTACTGATATTCAGACTAATAAACTGTGGAAATTATCCTTAGAAATATTGTTTTCGTTATCCTTAGAATCCATGTGAATCCCTTTATTTGCTTTTTTTGTGTTCCCAAAAGAAATAAGCACAAATGTGACTTTAATATCTTAGTTGTGTCTCCTTGCCAGCAATGAGATTAAATGGAAAGCTAATTGAGACTTTTATATTCTTATCTTGACAGAAAGACCCTAGACATGTGTCTCTAGACCAGTGTTTCCCAACCTTTTTTCTGCCGCGGCACAGTTTTGATAAGTTAAAAATCCCACAGCACACCACTAAGCACTGAGAAAAAAAAATGGAAAGGGGAAAAAGTATATATATTTTAAATGCTGCATCGTCAGAATTTGGTATTGTGGCTTTATATATGATCAGGCACTAAACATTTTATGAAAATCATGCTCAAATGGAGTTAACAAGGTTTTTTTTTACCATCGAATGACTGAGGTATGTGTTTTGTCCATCATTAGGACAGCCGCATCTGAGGCAGTAAGTGCATAGTATTACGTTTTCATCAACTCACAGGTTATAAAGTTACTGTAGCTATATGGGAGCTCAGATTTTCTTGTTTAATTTATTTGTTCAGAATCTCATGATATAAAATGTGAACTGCTATGCACAGGATATTTAAAACGTACAAAAGTATACTGGCTACAACTAGACTGCAAATGCTAACTCTTCTCCACTCTTCAAACACACACAAAAAAACATTAGCCTTTATAGACAGTGTTTCTTGAGTAAAGAAAACCCACACACAGACATAAGGATGACCATTAGCACTGATTTAAATTAATAATAACGAAATATAATAGAGATAGGAAGTTATGATAATTTTCCACTGCACACCTGACGCAGCACAGTGGTTGGGAAACACTGCTCTAGACCATCAGAAGAGATTAATAGCAT